AAGGGAGGGCGTGGGAGGGGGGAGAATAGGGGAACCCATGGCTGATATGTAGAACGGAATGATATTGTAAAATAAAAAATATATATCAAAAAAAAAAAGATTTACTCATTTATTATGTATACAGTGTTCTGTCTGCATGTGTCCTTGCAGGCCAGAAGAGGGCGCCGGATCTTATTACAGATGGTTGTGAGCCACCATGTGGTTGCTGGGACTTGAACTCAAGACCTCTGGAAGAGCAGTCAGTGCTCTTAACCTCTGAGCCATCTCTCCAGCCCTGGTCTGTTCTCTTTTTTATTTTAGAGATAGGGTCTCTCTATGTAGCCCTGATTGGCCTGGAACTCACAGAGATCCGTCTGCCTCTGCCCCGAGTGCTGGAATTAAAAGCGTGCGCCACCATGTTCAACTCAGTTTTACCACACAGTGGGAACAGTTAGTTGCTTTATGATCTCTGCCATGTTGCCATGCTCCATCATGCTCCAGAACAAGTGGGCATTCATGGCTGATGCTGCCCAAGAGCCTGGGTCAGATGCCTCGACTCTCACCTGGCATGGAGGGGGCAGTCTAGACTGTTGGCCCAGTATGTGAATCACAGCTTCTATCTGTTCAGTCCAGCAGCTACTTCCACAACAGCTCTTGCCTTTGTTGCATTTCCTAGAGTGCCTTTGAATCCCCCTTTCCAGTTTCCCCTTCTTAGCTATGGTCCTAAGACCTACTGTGTGCGGGATTCCTGCTGTGTCAGCAGACATCACTATGAAACCTCAAGTGCTTCCAACATTACCCTCCCTCCACTTCCAAACACCAAGCTGGAAAGATCGGAAGCAGGAAGCAACACTCAAGTGGCAACCCAGCTGCCCAGTTGCTTCACATCACCTCTGAACTGTCATTGCTTGAGTAAACAAACGCCTTCCTGGCCCAGAAACACTCCAGAGCCCTCGGTAGTCTTAAAGCAATCTTTAGACAGTGATAGCAATCGTCCAGTCCTAAAAGCATCTTCTGTCAAGAGTAAAGCATTTACCATTTAAAAAAATGTTTTTCACTGTTCTTACCTTTTAAATGTGTTCCATCTCTCTAGACCATGACAATAAAATTAAAGCATGCTTACTCAGCATGGCTAGAACATGCCCAGAGTGCCTACCGACGCCATCCGTCCACTCCTTGAATGAGCTTCTGGGGAGCAGAGTAAGTGCAGGTGAGGGCTGGGAAGTAGATCAAAGGTCATCCCCATGGTACTAAGAGTCAGATTTCAGAAATAACTGCCAGGCTGGCCAAATACGGGAGAGGAGCACAGGTCCAAGCTCCAGCCCGGAGGCAGCCCATCTGCCTGTCAATCAGAGGCAGCTGCTCAAACCAGTTCTAATCACCCCAAGTCTTTCACCACAAAGGAAGCACAGAAAAGAAGACTTCCCAACACAGGCTGGGAGGACACCCCAGAATCAGGCAGGGGATACTGCAGTTAGGTCGACAAGGGAGAATCCCTCAGGGTGGGGTTTCAACTCATCAGACCTGAGTGTTTTCTAGTGTGGATCAGCATGATGTCTCAGGAGGGATTAACAAGCTCTGGGGATAGCAAACAGGTCTGAGTTTGTGTGTGTGTGTGTGTGTGTGTGTGTGTGTGTGTGTGTGTGTGTGTGTGTTTGGGTGCCACAGCTGGGTAGCAAGAGCCCCAATTCTCAGCGGACACAGATGAAAGGTATCAGGTAAGGTGGCAGCTGTTATAAAAGCTGGTGGAGCGTCCACATGAGAGAGTGCTATCTGCATTTCAGTAAGTCTGAAATACTCCAAAAGTTTAATTTAAAGAAGACACAATGCTGGGTGTGGTGGTATACACCTTTAATCTCAGGACTTAGAAGGCAGAGGCAAACAGATCTCTGTGAGTTCAAAGACAGATTGGTGAGTTCCATGCCAGTCAAGGCTATTTAGTGAGACCTTATCTCAAGATAGATAGATAGATAGATAGATAGATAGATAGATAGATAGATAGATAGATAAATAAATAAATAAATAAATAAATAAATAAATAAATAAATAA